TGGCAACCACATTATACAGTCTCACTTGAAACTCCACCATCCTTCCATGGATTTCTATTTTTATATTTGTGCATCTATAAGTGCCTCTAGTTTCATTAGGGTACATTTATACATTCCTGTGTATTTGTGTGCACCCTGTCGGTATTGTAGCCCAGTGGTAGTCAAGTGTAATCTGATGATATTTATAATTTTGACCCCTAAAAGTGGTGTTTTGCAAAAGTAAGGATGTAGCCTATTTTCGCGTTTTTAGACGAGGTAGTTTTAATGTCCTACTTGTTCTCTTGTAATTGGTTAGTCCTCCACCTGTACTCAGTGTAAGTGTGTTTTGGAAGATTGACTTTCATTATATGCTTTCAAAATCTAGTTTTCTCCCTCTGGTTTCTACAATCCTGCACACTCTCTAGCTTTAATTCGCATTTTCTTGTAATAAAAAAACTGGCTGTCTATAAGAGTGCTTATAGCTGGCAAAGGTTATTCTCGAGAAAAGAAATTTTTACAACATAGCAGAGTATGCTCACTTACAGTATGCTCAGGATGAGAAGAAGCAGAGATGAGATAAACAAAAGTTGTACATGACATTCTGCTCAGATTTGCTCGACAGATAGCTACGAGGATGTGTCATTTGCCAGCCACCCACAGTAGAGAAACACTGGCAACCCTGTCTATTAAGACATCTAAGATCACCCAGGGCTTGTGGCTAGATTTCCTGTCGTACTGAGTAGTTAAAAATTCTCTCAATAGCCACAGTGGCATCTCAGTGGCACCATACATAGCACCCAACTGGCTCTCACAGCAGTCTCCTCGAAACTGTGAGCGGTCTTTTTTTTTTTTTTTAAAGTCTCTATCAGACTAATTCAAAGTCACTTCAGCGTCCAACTCGTGCAGCTGCTCGGCCCGCAATAGAGACGACTTTCTCTTCACTTCGTAAAAATGCAACGGATGCGCTGCAGTCTATCTATTTATCGCCCCTCCTCTTGTTTTTCTCAATGACCCAATTGACCCAAAAGCGACTGTTCCGGCCCGCAAAATGAGTCTCGTCAATACCAGGCTTTCATCTGAAGCCGGCGGAGCTCAGACAGAGCTGCTCTGTTTTGTTGTGGTTCGGGTGGAGCAGAGGTGGCAGGAGTTAACAGAACCCTTGATCCAGATCGACCGGCTCCAGGAAATTGGATGAAGAAGCCGCCTGGTTGCCCCAATGCACTGCCCTGAATGGAGTCTGGTTTTCTTCATGGAACAAGTGGAAGGAACCCACAGATTACTCGGTCAGAAAATGAGTGGAGAGAGAGGAACTGGCACTAGAGGTCCTCCAGCATGGCCTCAAAAATGTGGAACTCAACTGATTGATAGAAAAGTAATTGCGAATCAAATAATTTTAATTATCATTTGTGCATTTCTAAACCTGAGATTAGTGCAATCTTTTTGCGTCATGCGTCTGCCTTCAGAACTGAGATGAATTTGGATGGAAGCACAAACCATGAGCTAATCCTCGTATACTGTGTTTACTTTTGCACCATAAAATATAATTACATCTTGGATTTAAAAAATTGCATTGCTCCTTTTTTGGTATTCAAGGCTGAGTCACTGAGCTATGGCCTGTACTTTTTTTTTTTTTTTTATATATATAAGTAGGAACCAGTGCAGTGTGTCAGGGCTAAGCCAGGGTCATGCTGTAAAGTATTTTTAAAAAGCGGGGAGTTGGATTTGGCTTCATATTCAAAGGCAGCATGCGACAGAAGACTGCATCTCACATCAAGCCTCTTTTGAGCTCAGAACGGCTTCCCAAAGATGTGGTATAATAATGTTATAGCCAGACAAACAGCTGGCTGTCCTGTAGAGACATCAGGAATGAAACCAACTAAGCAGTGCAGTCAGGACTAACTTGATTTAAGAAGCCTGTTTAGGAATTTTATTGGTGTCTTAACAGGTGGTTTCTTAGCATTAGACTTGAAGCAGCTGCTGTGTTTGTGTGTTTTATGTTGTTAATGATTCCAAATGTGCTCTCTGATGATGTTTTTCCTGCTCAGGAAGGTTTTGCTCATATATATATATCTTTGTGTGTATTTCACAGTAGATGTAAACCAAACAAAACATAATGAGGTTAAGTATTTTTTTTTCCTTAGTCTGTACCATTTGCATATTGGCAGGAACAAACAAAACATTACCAGACTCATCTGGTTTGCATTTTAATGCTGCCCTTTGATACTCTGTCCTATATTTTTATGCAGGATTTCTACACTAATCTGTGATTTAGAAATAAGGAAATTCATCTTGTTTCTTCCTCATTCCATCTACTTTCTTATCTCCTGCCTTGTTACTAACAACAAAAAAATCCTCTTCTATTATCCAGGCGATGTCTGCTTCCGGTTAATCTCTATTTTCTCTTGTTCGATCAACCTTACTCTTCATTGTCTCTGCTTCCTCTTCTTGTTTCCCCCACGCTGCAGCTCACTAATCTGACAGAGATCCACGATCAGATTAGCGGAATGGCTCGGTGTCCCTACAACCCCCTCCACAACTCCACCGCCCTCATCACCTCCAGTGGGGAGCTTTACGCCGCCACTGCCATGGACTTCTCCGGGCGAGACCCCGCCATCTACCGCAGCCTGGGCGGCCTGCCACCCCTGCGCACTGCCCAGTACAACTCCAAGTGGCTCAACGGTGAGGAGCTGCCAAAGTTTGAATGAATGTTATAGTGTATGTAAATGCATGCAACAGTTGCTAAAAATTAAAATCTCCTTTTTAAACAGAGAAAAACACCACGGAGGGGGTTTTTCCTCTCTGTTTGTTTCTCCATTCGCAGCTATTGAACATTAGCTCTGCAGCTGGTGGGGATTCAACATTTTGCTCAAGGATGCTTAAACATGGCAGCTGCTTATCTAACATGGGAGCTGGAATCTGTTTCTCTTGAAGGATCGCATTCATCCTCAAATCACCACTGTGCTGCACAGCGTAGCGAACCCCGAAAAAGAAGATCCCCTCTCCGTAATTGTTCTGTTGCCTTTTTATCTGCAAAAACAATTATTTGGAAAGTTACTAAGCAGCTAGAAAATCTTTATATTTATCTCGGCCTTACTTTGAAGAGGGGCGTAAAATTGAGAATCCTTCAAAAATCAATGTCTCTTCCCCCCCCTCCGAAAGCTCAGACCCACTTCAAGCACAGACCTCCTCGGTGCAGATTGGAGGAACTTCAGACAGCTTAAGGTGTCCAGGCTACAGAGGAGCAGGTCAATCAGTATCTTGTCAGCAAGTGACTTTTATCTGATTCACATTTAAGCTAAATTGAAAAAATAAATTAAAAACTACCACATACATTACTTGGCAGCAACCTTCTGAGAGAAGGTTTAATAACTAATTTTATGGCGAATTGATTTTTTTTCCCCTCTGTCTCCCCCCCTCTTCCACTGCCGTCCAAAGGTGCAGAGGAGAAAAGGGTTGAAATGAGGAGGGGTGGCAATACTTTCATTTAAAGTCGAATTAAATCACTGTCAGCGAGAATAAAGCGTGCGGTTTAGATCCAATAATGTCATACATAAAGATGAACGTCTTACTCGTGACAGTGTCGCGGGGGTCGCGTGTTTCAGATAGGGTGAGAGCTATTACGCTACACCTGTTTTGGTCATTTCTCATCCTAACCTTTAGGTTTGGGGAGTGAAAAATGAGTTTTCTTATTACAACACAATGCCATTAATAACGTGGCCTGTAGTTATTAATCCTGATCACCTGCTGTTGTGTGGGCTGCACGCTTGCACACACTGTGAGTCAATCAGTCATAACACGCACCCATTCGCTCACCCACTCCCCCGTGCTCCTGCAACCTTAAATACTTTTCCTTCTGTATTTTTCTTCATCTTTCTGCACTTTATCTTTCTCTTGCTTGTCTTCATTGTTTTTCTTTCTGTGTCTTCTTTCTCTTTGTCACAATCTTTTTCCCAATTATTTCCCTCCTATCCTTCAACAGAACCGAATTTCGTCTCCTCCTACGATATCGGCAACTTCACCTACTTCTTCTTCCGGGAAAACGCAGTGGAGCACGACTGCGGCCGGACGGTGTTTTCCCGCGCCGGTCGCGTCTGTAAAAATGACATCGGAGGTCGATTCCTTCTGGAGGACACTTGGACCACGTTCATGAAGGCCAGGCTGAACTGCTCCAGACCTGGAGAAATCCCCTTCAACTACAACGAGCTGCAGGGCACCTTCTACCTGCCTGAGCTGGAGCTGCTTTATGGAATTTTTACCACCAACGTGTGAGTAACGTGAGGTTTTACAAGTTGTAAAATGTAGGACACTGTCCCATCAGAATCTACATTCATGGCTGATCGTTACAGTTACAGTTTGTACACCTCAAGCTTTCCATTCACTGATGGCACATGTGAAACTTCCAATAATCATTTTGATGAAGTTATTACTCATCATTCCTTCTTTTTTATTTTTGTACAAGACTGAACTTTAATAGGCACAGTACAACTTTAACAAATGACAGTAATAAAGACTTAAAACATATTTGGGTCATTAAAGTAAATAAACATACACATCAAATTAAAAAATGAAAAATTAAAATGAAATGCAAATTTAAAAAAAGAAAACTACCTCAGTAGAACCTGAACACTGGATATGTCTGACTGATAATAACTTTCCAAACATAAAGGAAATTCACAATAAAAAAAATGATGATGATGTGTTTCCAAAAGCTTGTTCTGCTACTTAAAATTCTTCGTGGTTTTTGCCTTCAGACAAAAGCAGAGAAAAGTAAGCTGCCAACTGGCAGCTGTTGAAATTACATCTGACAGATTTGATCAGCTTTATGTACCTGACCAATTCAGCAAATGTCAGCTCCAGGAGTCGCTTGAAAACATTGTCTCTCTGGTTAAATGTTCACTTACTTGTATCAGAATAGAAGCTGTCTTCAGTGTGCAAAAAAAAAAAGGTTGCATATGTTTTTTTTTACGCTAAAAGTCAGACCATGCCAGCATCCACACCTGCTGGTGATTCATGATGAGGGGAAAAAAAAAAGAAAATACAAAGAAAACAGAGACGGATTTGCTCAGCTTTCAGTTTTATTATTACATTAGATATTCAAGAAATGGATATTAGTGGAATCACTTAATTTCTTTGTTGATAAATTGCTTTTCTTTTCCACTGAGTGTTGTGTTCACAAAATGTTCTTTTACTTTAATTTTATTATTAATTTTGTATTTTCATTTGTGTACAACTTCTTTGAAAGAAGTTTTAAATTGTTTGAAAGTTTACAAGTTTTAAAGTATTTTTTTTTACATCATACCATTTCCACGGCACTATTTGATATGTGGCCCACCAAAACACCAGCAAATATCATCAAATGTCATCACTTATTCTCTGTTTATTGTGTAAACAAACACACCATAACAGCGTCTGCGTGAACATGACATGTGACCTCTTTGTCATATTTCATATAGTGAGCATATAAAATTGTATGATCATGTTATTTGCATGGGCAAGAAGAAACGCCAAAGCTTCTACAAACAGGGTTTATTATTCCAGCCGCTATCTCACATTTGAATCCTATGAAAGAAGCTTATCATCAGTCCCGACACTGTATCATGTGTACGAGGCGGAGTGTATAATGAAAACTATTATTTTCTGTTTTCCCAAACATCATAACTCTTTCCTCTTTTTGTCTCTCCATCTTTCTTTTTTTTTTGCGCACACACACACACACACACACACACACACACACACACGCACAGACCATTATTAAAAGCTGAGTAATCAATTCTTTATGGTCAATGCCTCCACATTGCTGAAAAAGAAGTCTTTTGAAGGGTATTGGAAACATTTCCCCCTGCAGGCACAGAGTTTAATGAACAGCTGCACCGGATTATAATTCACATCGCCCAAGTCTCACAGTTTGAGTTGAGAGCTAATACTCTCATTCTTTACTTTGTCTTCTGAGGGAGGAGACCGGTACTTGTTGAAACTGACAGCTTAAAAAGTCAAAGCTGTATTTCAGGCCGGAGATCTGTACAGTTAATCAGACAAGCCGAACAGCTTAATTGTGTCCTATTGCAGGATTTATAATCCAGTAATGACGATCACTTACCCCAGCATCTGCGTCTGTCTGTCCGGTGTTTGATTTGTGTTGTTGGTGGGCAGCAATACAAACACACAGAGGTCAGCTTTACAAATACCAACGTATTGTGAACAGTTTCCTGCTTGTACTATGGACTCCTTCTCTAAATTAGATTCTTCTAATGCTTATCTCCGTCTCTCCCTCTCTCATCCATCATCGTCCTGACGTCCTCCTGACAACTTCCTGACGTGCAGAAACAGCATTGCTGCATCTGCAGTGTGTGCCTTCAATCTCAGCGCCGTAGCACAGGTTTTCAACGGGCCCTTCAAGTACCAGGAGAACTCACGGTCGGCCTGGCTGCCCTACCCCAACCCCAACCCAGACTTTCAGGTAATGAAACTATTCTGAAGCCCCCCTTGCTCTGTTTGTTCTGCCAATTTGGACCACACTCATGCCATGCCAGCGGCTTTGTGAAACTGTGGAGCTGAAATGCTAATGTCAGACTGCTCACATGCTCAACCCAACAGCATGCCGATGCTAATCAGGTTCAATGTTCATGATCTTGGTTTTAGCATTTGCTAATCAGTGCAGAACCCAAAGTAGAGTGGAGGCTGATGGAAACGTCCAACCAAGCTGAAAGTTATTCCAATTCATCCTAAGGGGGGGGACCTGAATATCTATCCAATACTTGTCATGTCACATTTATGTTTCAGTAAAAAGAAGAGAGTCGAGCTCCTGTATGTGTTAGGGGGGCTGCAGTCAGTCAGATTCACCCTTTGGGGGTCATTAATATCTGAACAAACATTGGTAGCAGAATGTTTCAGCAGGGACAAAATTGTTGCACCAACAACACAACATTTTCATTCCTGGAGTCACGCTGCCAGCATGGATGAAATATGTTTAGTAGGTCTGTGCATGTAAGCTACAGTTCAGAGCTTCCCTTCAATGATCAAGAGTGGTCACTTTTTCATGCAAGAGGTCATTTTACATTCAACACACTGCCGAATCAGTCATACAATATGTACAGCGCTTGCACGCCCAAGGAAATTTATGCATGTAGTGGGTATACCGCGAGTGTATGCTGATAAATAAATGTGTGCCTGCCCTGAACAGCCTACCTCAGACTCCCAGGAAGCTCTTCACTCTTATTAATTTTCCCTCTCTTTCAATCACCCCTCTCGCTGCTCATGAACACGCACATTACGACCGCTCGTTATAAAATCCACTGATTTTTACAATGGCGCAATCATTCCTTGAAGATGTCTCATAGCCTCGTTCGGTGAACTGTAGTCCTTCCTAATAAACTGTCCTTGTTTTGCACAAGTGGCACTTTATGTTTATACTCCATCCTAAAACCCGCAGGGGCAAACCAAGCACCTTCTTCCTATTTTGAAGCGCCTCTCCTTTGCTGATGACGGAGAGGGAATGTTTTATTAGCTCAAGTTTTAGCAGACAGGCAGTGAGCTTATCCGCACCGCTCTTCGTGAGGGATTGAATTCCCTCCGAGGTCTGGTTAGCAATGGGCGACGCACACTTTCACACGTGTTTCGCATCACGGGACGCCGATCATGTTTCCATCAAGCCGGCAGACGCGTGAACATTCGTGATGCCTGCTATCAGGAACGTACACACACCCATTATCTATAATGACATGCAGAGAGAGAACGCATGCAGAAAAAGTGAATGACACGCTTCCAGAGAAAAAGTGCTAGGTGTGACAGTTTTCAAAAAAATTAAAAAATAAACGAAATGCACGTGTACACCTTTTCGCAACAGAGAATGCGTCTCACTGTCATCACACATTCACATATCTACATGTCAGCAGCTGGTTGATTGAAATTCTCTTAGCTTACCTCAAGAAAAACCTATTTTCCCTATCTGGTCAGTGCTGACCACAGATTTATCCTATTTTGCATACTGTATACACCACAGAGGGGTTTCTGTGTACCATAGACTTCTATACGTCTGCTCCTCAAACATAAAGCATAAACCAGGATCACTTCCCCTCTCCATCCCCATCTCTCCACTTAAGCTCGGCCACAATAGCTGCTCCTCACCGCTGGACCGATGCACACTTTATCTAGGTTTCAGTGACATCTTCATCAAGCATTTGTCAATGTTGGAGGATTAGATTTACGAGCGCAGGATTTATAGCCTGTCTTTTTTTTTTTTTTTCACAGGCTTTTCCGCACACACACACACCTACACACATGTACATGCACAAACAACACCTACAGGAAACCTGCAGTCATAAAAGCCACCGGGCCACGTACATATACACTATATACAAATACGCCCACCAAAATAAAGGGCTATAGATTGCTGCCAAATAGGGATAATTATGACTGTGAACTCATCGCTCAACACGCACACACTGGTCATTGATTGAGAGCTTAATTCCCTGTCTGTCTGCAGAGAAAATCCCCCCATTTATTTGAACCACACGGATTGATCCTGCTGGGTTTATTCAGGGTATGAGTCATGTTCGTTGTGCATTAGAAGCTAATACCCACTCTGTGTTGTATAGGTTTTCTGTCACTCTGTAATTACTTACTGTAAAAATGCATTCATTGTAAGGCTCCATATTCAGAACAAATAGTTAGACTCTGAAATGCTGCTAGAAAGTTTGTGTTACCTGAAATATTTAGAATGCAGCACAATAGAAGCGTGAGTTTTTTCTGTCAGAAAACTGACAAAATATTATTATCAGACATTACCAACATTTTTTATGCTTTTAAATTTTTAAATAACCTGCAAGGCCAGGAGAAAGCAGAGAGAGGAATAAGATCTGCTAGGACGCCCCACCTGAAGGGCATTTTAAACAGGAGTCCATTTTGCAAAAACATGCTGTAAAACAACCTTATTTCCGAGTGTCACTTATCACTCTGGCACCGGTGCACCGGTGATGAGCGGGACACCTGAGTGTTGGATGGGCCCTCAGCCAAATGATGGTTGTGTCCCTCACCTTGACTGTACTGGGAAAATCACGACATCCATCTCACGGCGCATTCACAGATGTCTTGGACCCTCAACGGCCAGCGCCTGACTTTGTCTCACTGTGGCAGAAATATAGTCATACAGGCACTTTGGGATTCACACACATGCACGCAATGCAAGGACAAACCACAAAAGGAAACCTTAGACATGTGGTACTGCATAGCCCGCACCACACACACACACACACACACACACACATGCAACACATTTTTGCCATGAGCACGAGGCTCATTTGAGTCACACAGCTACATATACACACAGTGTTGCATTTCCCTGTCCTTCAGGGCTTTAATTTCCCATCTCCTGATGTGGCGGGGGCACTGATCCATTCTCCATCCTGGGGAAGCCCTCCATGATTCTCATCTGTCAGCCCAAGGAAGGCCGGGGATTGATCTGTACAAAGCGTCCATGCTGTTACTACTGTAGCTAGTCAGCAGGAACTAATCGCCACCCAAGGTCCAGTCTCGGCTAAGTACGGAGAGGCTGTGCATGGTTAGCCTGGAGCAAATACGATACTGTGCACGAACCTAAAACAGTACCCGTCATTTGGGTGGGTGTAATTGCCGAGTATGGCTTATTTTTGTTTTCTCGTCGCTGTGCCTCAGCGTAGACCTATTCTTTGTGGATGGGGCCCTCAATCCACAATCCTGACCCCGGCTTGGAACCTCTTTTACTGAAAAGGACACGCATGGTTAGTTTTACTCATCCAGCTGTCCCTCAGCTGGACTGGCTTTGTGCCTCTCCTTGTCCCATTCAGCTTAGAGGAGAAAAGTGTCTACGTTTTACTTAAAAAAAAGCAAAAATAGCGTCTTATGCTGTGAATACCAAGTGTCTCTGTTTGTCAAGTTTTCATGAGCGTAGAATGACAGTTTTTAGTTTTGACAGCACACATTTTAGGTAATCAAATGAAATATTCAAGAGTTTTTAGCTTCACAACAATAATATGTGTTGCACATACTACATAAGGATTCACTATTTGTTCCTCGCTGCTCGTTTTTAGTATGCTATTAGTGCTACAGTTTCATATTTAATGCTGTTGGAATCTTTCTCAACCTTGTAGAAAATAGAATATAAAATATACACGAAAATATTTCAGAATGTCAAAGATCATTTGTTATTTTCCAAGAAAAAGATACGTTACAGGAATGTCGGGGAAATTCACACATTTTATTATCAGCATATACAAACATTTACAATATAAAGCAGCACTATAATAAAAAAACAAAAACATCCTTTGTCTGCTTAATATTCTTTTAAACTCTCATCTGGAGAGAGTTCACTTTATTGAACTCTCTTTAAAAAAATGAACTCTGGGAAATATCAGACATTTTATATTATAATCCAGCACCATGGCACTGACACTTTAGCTGCAAAAGTCTCCAGGGACTTAGAACGCAAACTCAGTCAACAATGCCAGATGAAACCAAATTAATCTGTTACAATGAAATCCACCTATTTATGTGAGATACTTCTGTTATTGTGAGTGCAGCCCAAAAACCTTGGCTGCAGGTAATTTAGATCCGTTATTTTTCGGGGAGCTCTTAGTTTGAACTATTTTGCTGCATTTAGAGCGAGCATTGTATTCAGAAATATTATGAACAGCAATAATGAAGCCCTGAAAGCCTTTTTACAATATTATTTTTGAGGTAAAGAATGACACAATCAAGACACAGTATTATTGGGGTTCCAATAAAATTCACCAGCAATATAAATGCATATGAGGAAAAAAAAATCTAATAAAAGAGATAACTACTTGCTCAGTCAAACATTCATTCAGTCTCCTTCCATCAGCCTCGGCGTATTGACTACAAAGCCTTGAGGTTGTGAGGATAGCAAACCGTCGCTACAAGGCAGCAATTGACTTTAAAGTCTTGTTCATTTAATCATTCTATCCCTCTCTCTTCCAACTCTGGTGGCACTTCTGGGCAAAAAAATCTAAGGCTTATTAACTCACCTTCGCAAAGAGCTTGGCTTTTATTAACGTAGTCAGTCAAACCTCTCTCTTTCCGACTTCTCCGCCCTCACAGTGCGGCACCATCGACTCCGGATCCTACGTCAACCTGACTCAGAGAAACCTGCAGGACGCTCAGAAGTTTTTGCTGATGCACGAGGTGGTCCAGCCCGTTGTACCGGTGCCCTACTTCATGGAGGACAACGTTCGCTTCACCCATGTGGCGGTGGACGTGGTGCAAGGGAAAGACATGCTGTTCCACATCATTTATCTGGCCACCGGTAGGTTCCTTATGACGCTTTTTCTCTACGAGACAGACAATGTTTTTTGAAAAATCTGCATTTTCACATGCTTTGTCTTGTTTTTCATCATTTGCATATTGTTTAGATGGTCTGATATCATTTTGTGACAACTTAAAGGTCCTGGAAACATATTTTCCTCCATGTTCTTAATATGGTTAACAAGATCCTACATAAGCCCACAATGTCTGTCAATCAGTCTTTTCACATTAAATGTTTATCCATTTTGCCTTTCATTTATTTCTCTCTCATCGGGCTGAAATGGGCAGAATTTAGTTGGAAAAAATCTAATACTCCATGCACCAATTAGGATCAGATAAAACACACCTGCACAGCCCTGCACAGCAAAATAGCTAAGGTTTGAGTGTTTAATTTTTTAATGGATTATACCCAAGGATGTTTTTTCTTTTTTTTTTCAAATGTAAGCGTTGATTATTACTCATACAGCCATGAATATTGATTGTAACAGAAAAACACTTCAAGGGCGTCTAGTATTTCTCTGCAGGCCTTCTGTTTTCTCTGCGAGAAATTAAAAAGGCATGCAAGAGGAATGAGAAAACCGATCGATCTGTATCATCGTCATGTAGACATCAAAGCTTTGACTTTGACATGAGTTGGAGCGCTCTTTACCTCCATATGTTCTCCATATGCACTGACCGAGCTCGCACGCACACACACACACAAACAGCGCACCACATGCCACTCCAATGCCGTCCCTCACAAAGACATCATAAACACAGAGAAACAGCCAACAGTCATGTGTCAGAGAAGACAGACGGGTAATTGGTAACACACACATATATACCGCCTTTACACGTTTCCTCTGTGTGACGTTTGTGGCACCAGTCTGCTTATCGGTACACTGTTTGATCATCCTGCTGTGACAATATGTGATGTTAGACTTGCCAAGGTGTGGAAAACAGTATCAGCAAGACAACAGATAGACACCGGTTTGTTTGAGTGACTGTATTATGATATAACACGCGCACACGTGGATTACGAGCAGGTGTACCGAACAGAATTTGAACGTAGTGACCCACTTCACAGTGCTAATGTACCATAAGCCCACTGGGAAATGTCAACATGATCTTCCTGTTGTAGCGTCAGTGTTATTTTAGGATCTCGCATACAAGCTTCCACCCTCTGTCTCTCTCTCTCTCTGTCTCACACACACACACACACACTCTCACATGTTCCAGTTCACTGCCTCTGTGCTTGGCATCTCCCTCAAAAAACTCCCCTCTCATTGTTTGCGTGGTGCTGTGATCAATGTAGCAGTGGACCAGAGCTGCCCACATTGCAAGTTCCCCAGACACTCACCACACGCTAATGAAAACATCTGAAACACTGCCAAGGCCATTGGCTAGCGCACATACTGTATCTAATCACATGCTATTATTAACGCTTAAACACACCCTGCTGATTGGGGCCATCGTGGGAAACCTGATAGCTCCAACTGGGGGTCCAAAGATGTCAAGGTGTGGAGTTCTATTATTCGAACATGTGGCTTGCAGTGGATTTCGCCTAATTTGCTATTCGGCCCTCGTTTGTAATTTCTGCCCTGCAGCAGTAGCTTTTTTTCCCCACACAGTTAATGTGAACATAATTCAGTTAAATGCAAAAAGAAATTTTGAAATTCCTGCTTCACCAAAGTACATAACTTATAACCAGGTGCATGCCTTGAGAAAAAAAACATCACTGATCTGAATAGTAGTTTACTAATTACTCAACGGCAAAAGTAATTAGATGCAGTAAAAATAAATAAATAAATAAATGGTACCACATATATACATTTGTCACATCTTTAGTATTTTAGTATATGTAGTATTAGAAAAGGAGACATTATAGGATAAGATGAGATTTTATTGATCCCAAGGAGGAAATAGTTGCAGCAGCATAAAGACAGAGGTGCATAATTGAATCTATCAATAATTAAATAGGAAGTACAATAAAATAATAATGATTTTTTTTAAACATACATAAAAATCAAGACAGTTCAAAATTACAATGCAAGTAACATACATACAGCAACCAGTGCTGAAAGAAAACAAATGCACCACCACCACCACCTTTGTTTATCATACTCTATATACTGTATAATGTCATCTATGTAAAGAAAAAGAAAAACAAAAAAGAATAATTGAATACAATACACTACAATGTGGAAAAATGTTGCTTACGTCAGCTTAATGTTGGTCAAGGTTAGCGCACACCTTCCACAAGACTAATTGTCACAATGGAGCTTCAGCTGACTTACGAATTGTGTTTCTTCATACGTGTTACTTGAAATAGTAATCACATTGTTCCCTTGGGGCGAAAACTTAAATTTTACATCTATTAGCATTTCACCTTTCTTCCCGTGGCATCACTGTGCACCTAATTACTTCTTCCTCACCCAGGGGATTGCATGTATAATAGATGACGTTTGTTTCAGCTCTCCCTCAAGGAAATTTGCCCTTAACGTGTTCGCGCAGGGCCCACCTTACACAAAATAAAGGTCAGGACATACTCGCACTGACACGGATTTCCACATTCGTCTCTCTCTCAGAGAACTACAAAGAAAGGTCTCATCCGCTGGAATATCCCCTTAAAAGAAAAGTAGGCCAGAAATCATGCATTCAGGCGCCATATCGATTCCCTGGTTGCATTTACAGCACTGCATGTTGATGGCATAACCAAGCCTGGCACACCTGCCACCACCACTCTTTTTGACAGTCTTATTTCAGAGCCTCTCTGTTATGAAGTGATTGTTATGTGGTTCACACTGAGTTCACATTGGCTTCTGCGCAGTTTTGCTCATCCAGCATATATTTTTTGTTGTTTTTTTCCCCCCCTTTTCAGAATCTCTACTATGTCTCATCTTTGCTCTCTCCACCAGGAATTTACCTTCTCTCGTGCAGATAATCACCTTTCTTCCTCTGTGTGGCCAAATCCTCTCTTCCCCCCCTTTCTCTTCCAGATTACGGCACTATCAGGAAAGTGCTTTCCCCTCTCAACCAGTCCACAGGGAGCTGCCTATTGGAGGAGATCGAGCTGTTCCCGCCCAGGAAGAGACAGCCGATCCGAAGCCTGCTGATCCTGCACAGCCGCAGCGAGCTTTATGTGGGCGTTAGAGACCAGGTCATCAAGATCCCGCTCAAGAGATGCAGCTACCACAAGAGCAGAGAGTGAGTGCATGCACAAACAAACAAACGCCATTAATCTCAATGGAAACTGTCAAAAGCAAATGAGCTCGCAACAAAGTTTTGAAAGCCCCCTCGTTCATAAGATGCTCTTTATCGGAGAGGGCCAGGCCTTTGTGTTGGTCAGGGGCCTTTGCTGAGATTTAAAACCCTCTAAATCAGCTTTGTCTGAGCCACTGGAGGTGCCCGTGGCTGCCCTCTGCCTGTCTCGCTGTCTTCCTGTCTGTCGTTGTCATTGACCCGCGCTCAGAAACCGTGTGCTTTCTGTCTCGTGCACAGTCCTGTGGCGACTGTGTGTGTGTTTATCAGATATATTGAGTTTCTGTCTGTCTGGAAGACGCTCCGTCAAGGCATAAATATTGGCAAAGAAAACCTGAGACAGAGGCCGGGGTGTGAAGACTCACCACAAGATTGGGATCCCATCCATCATCGCACGCAGCAAAGGAATCACACCTGCATTCCTTATCTCTCCCACAATGAGCTGTTATTGGAATGCACAAAAGAGTTAAGGCTTCATATTACAGCTGTGGCTGTGTGATATATTCCGCAGCCATTATGGCACTTCATCACATCGTTCTTGCTCTTTTTTTGTTTTTTAAAGAGTCTGCAAGGGTAGTGAGAAAACGCAAACAGATTAAAGACACAAACCCATGGACAGGACAGGCAGCTACAGCGAGAGTTACTGGGTTCATCACTGACATTTCTTTGAGCTTTACCTGTTTGATATATTAGAAGGCTGTCTCTGTCTTCGGCTGTGTGCCTCACTGATTGGTGCTGTGCAATATGTAAGGCCCTTAAGGCCCCCTTAAAGACGGGTGCTGGCATGTACCTTCTCCCTTTCATTTTGCACTGCTGTCGTCACCCCTCGTATCTTTGTCCGAACAGACATCAGCTTTCTGCTTTTTGTTTGTTACCCAGACGCGATGTCAGCCGCCTCGTGCGTGCAGGCAAGCGCAAGTCTTGCCTTTCTGCAATTTCACATGTATACGCTGCATACGATCATGTTTTCCTTGCATAAGTGTACTTGTTTGTGCCTACGTGAGTTCATTGTTATGAAACCCACGGACAACTTTGTTACATTTCACTAGGGGCATGTCAGGCAGCGTTGACGCCTGCAGCTCAGAGATATGTCATTGTGCTGTCACCGCAGACTTGTATTTATACGAAAAGAGTATCATCAAGCTTTTTATTGCACTCAATAAACCATCTGAGGCAGATACGGCAAAGACAGATCCCGCTATCTTTACCACGGTGTCCTCGCAGTGAATATTTGCTGGGCTGATAAGCTATTTGTGTCAGAAATGTGTGTGTGCATATGCAAAGGTAAAAACTATAATCCTGGTTTTGAGCTTTAAGATTACCTGAAAAATCAGTCAGCAAATTGTGTTAAGGCATAATTTTGTGATGCAGATGCAATCTAATGCATGTCAGGGTTGCATAAACAAAATTAACATTTTTCTCCTGCTTTCTTATCTGTCTCGTCTTCTCTGTCACTTAAGTAGCTTCTCTCCTCCCTGTCATCTCTGTTAATTTTCTCACCTCTTTGTCCTCTCTTGCTTTTTCCCCACTCTTTTTTTCCACCTCATTCCCTCTGCCTTCTCCTTTCTGACACTTTCCTCCATACCTTCCTCTGCATCTTATCTCTCCCCAGCTCCTATATTTCCCATCCATCAATTCTCCCGCCACCTTATCTTTTGCTTTTCTCCGTTATCTCCATCCTGATGTTTGATATCATGTTGTCTCGCAATGCGCGGCCGTCTGTATGCATACATGACAGGTTAATAAAAGCCCATTAAAAGTGGACTTCATTCTCTCCTTGCAGGGCCTGTGTGGGAGCCAGGGACCCGTACTGTGGTTGGGATCTGCTGCTGAAAAAATGCACCACCCTGGAGGAAAGTGTCAGAATGAGCCAGTGGGAGCAGAGCATTACAAAATGCCCCGTGAGTATTATGGAGCTGCCGTCGGATACTTGCTTCGTTGTCGCTCTCTTCCTTGTTACTTCATATTCATTTTCTGTCTCTTCTTTGAAACTTTAAAGTTGTTAAAAAACACAATTATCCTTACTTGGCCTCCAAGTTCACTCTCCTCGCCACATGAATTTAATACTCGCATTCATCTCCGCTCGTCTCCTTCTGAAAGCTACACCCTGCTCTCCAGATAGTCACAACTCACAAGCAACGGCCCTGAGAAACATATCCTTGCAGACAAAAGGGACTGAACAACTTGACTTTAAGGGAGCAGCGTGTACCCCCGGAATGATCAAGAATGCTGCCTCAATCGCTCACCTCTGACTGCTGGTTCATTAGCGAAACAGCTCTTCCATTTATTTTAACGTGCACCGAAATTGGAGCGGTATTAGGGGGCGTCCACCCTATCAATTTCAACATGCCTCGGCTTTTTCAGAGTTTCGTAGACATCATTTTCAAGCCAGTCACAGGATGAGAGTGCCGTGTGCCTTTGTACTCCTTTATGTGGCTTCATGTTCAGAGGAATATTTGGCATTCAAGCCGCTGAGCACCCCGTGACATCTGTCTGCAGAGCTCTGGCAGAAAGTTGGCAAGCGCTGCATCCATCTATGCATTCAGACAAATGCATGGGCACAAGCAATCACACGTCCACATATGTGCATAGATAGTTGCTATTGGCTGCAACTGGGGCAGCACTGTAGTTCTGAATTCCCTGCTAGTTGGCCTGTGTGAAGTTTTAAAGCTCTGCAGGCGTCCCTTTTGACTCCCACAGTCCAAAGACATTAGTGGTGGGTTAATCGGCCTTCGGTGTTAAAGCGAGTGTGTATGGTTGTCTGTTGTTGGGCTGGCGACCTGTCCAGGGTGTACTCTGCCTTTTGACAATGAGGATTGATACACGGATTGATGTAGGGTGGATGGTAGCAACCCAAAGGCAAAAGCTTCCTTATGTCTTGTGTCTTTTCCGAAATGTTATCTGCTTTACCTCGATGGGAAATCTCATGAGGTCGAGGAAAGATGTGAAGAATGTAGAAAAAGAACAAAATCACATGGATGTTGATGACGTGGGTCTGCTGTGGATGTTGCATTGTTTTTAATGTTGCTGCAACATGAATGGCGTTATCTGGGTTACGTTTGTAAAGGATGGATCAGTGTGTCCTGTGCTGAGGGAGATAAGAAAGAAGCACTGTAGCACCATCTTAGCATTTAGAGTATTCCACCAGCTCTTATCATGGCTGCCACTTAGATACTTTTGCATCATTTGACTCTGTTTAGAAGCTTACTAAGCAAAATAACACTGTTGGACTGCAGCTGTGCATTCAGCAGTATTAGCCTGGAAACAGTTAGCTTAGCCATGTTGCTTCTAGAGCGCAATTCATAAACGCATAACTCATTTTTTAAAAAATATATTTATTTAGTCACTGAAAGAAAGATTAGATAAGAGGTTTTATACCTTTGTCGTGTTTGTCTAGTAAATGTAAAACTGGGTATAATTAGCAAAGAATAGCACAAAAACTGAAACCAGCTAGCTTGGCTCTGTCCTACCCTGCGTGTTTAGTGTAAGGTTTTCTGTTGTTCATACCAAAAACACACTTTTCAAATGACAAGTTATGCCTTTTCATAAAACCACCACTTTTTT